CAGCAGGGCTCCCCGCCCCCTCCCGCCCCCTCCGCATCAATCCGGGTGTTGACCAGTCAGGCTTGTTCGCAAATGCTTCTCCTGGCTTCTCTCCTGGGCGTGCCAGGCTGCTCAGAACTCCCCAAGTCCCTGAGCTGCCTCGCTCCTGGGCCTTTTCTAAGGAAGCCCAGCTGTGCCCCGCCCTCACTCCCCAGCCCCTCCTGGGCCTGCTCAGCTCCACTGACACCCGCACCACCACCAACCCTGACCAGGACAGCATTCATTATAAAGCGCACAACCACATCCACAGGGCTCTTCTGGAAAAGCTAAAAACACACAGTGCTTGCTGGGTGAGGCGGTGCACACTTGCGACCCCAGCTCTTGGGGAGGCTGAGGCAGGTGGGTTACAAGTTCAATCCCAGCCTGGGCAATTCAGTGACTTAGTGAAACCCTGCCTCAAAATAAAAAATAATAAATGGGCTGGGGATGTAGCTCAGTGCAAAGGCCCTGGGTTCAATCCTCAGTACCAAAAAAAAAAAAAAGAAAAAAAAGTAATGTACCTTAGGATTCTAGAAATGTCAAAGTTTTGTTTTTTTTAAAAGGAATTTTATTTATTTATTTTGGTTTTTTTGAGACAGGGTCTCACTATGTAGTTGAGACTGACCTGGAATTCACTATGTAGCCCAGGCTGGTCTCAAACTCCGGGTGATTCTCCTGCCTCAGCGTCCTGAGTGCTGGAATTACAGGAGTGCACCACCATGCCCGCCTTTTTAAAGGAATTTTAAATGGCGAGTGTATAACCAAACTGTGGTACAGTCCCACAACAGTGCAAAGGGACACACTGCTTACACACCACAGCCTGGGCGTGTCTCACAGGCACTAGGCTGAGTGAAAGGCGCCACTCATGAACACGCACGTCCCATGTGACTCCATGGATGACATTCTCGAAAGGACGAAACTGCAGTGACACAGTGGGGCCCTGTGCAGGGGAAAGAACTGTAGCTCCCAAGATCTACACGGGCCCCAAGACACAGGAACCTCCGCACACCAGACAAAGGCCAACTTCACTGTCCATTAAAGAGTGGACATGGGTTTGATTACAGAAACTAAAAAAGTGTTCTCTAAATAATGAACAAAAAGGAATAAGATAAGACTACAAGAGCAAGAAGCAATTTAAATACATTCAGGGACCATTTTCATCTCCAGAATTAAGGAGTATTTTAATCTTACATCATTGCCTTTTCTCTTTTACTTTCCTTTTTAGTTTTATTTTAGGATTCCCTATTTTTAATGTTCATACAGAGATTTCTTTAACTGAAATACCGAATAGTTTCTCTGGTGTGAAACACTGTAATAGTACACCAGATCCTAATGAGATAATTAATAATGTGAAATAGGAGGTAAAGGGCTAAAGGTGTAGGGAGAGTGGGAAGGGTGGGGGAAAGGTAGTAAGGGAGAGGAAAAAAATATGAGAAATTGAAAAAATAGAAATAAAGTGTTTGTAAATGGGGAGGGGAGGAGGGGGTGAAGGGAGGGCAGGGACAAGGGGAAAAATGAGAATCAAGACCTATTATGTAAAGGTACAGAATCCCAATGATGAATGTAACTGTATTTGTATACCTAGGTTGTACCAATAAACTCAATAAAAAGAAAAGAAAAAAACCCGAGGGGAAATAACTTTAAAATGTGAACTTTGAATTGAGGAAAGTAAAAACTGTGTTAAATATCCACAGGGTTGAATCATGGGCACTATAATTATGGAGTTTTTCCTTTATGCTTTTTCATATTTAAAAATCTTTTTTTCACTTTGGTTGAGCATTCCTTTTGTAAATGGAAAAAGTTAACATTGTACAGAATCCTCCCTAATCAAAAAACAATTGCCCATCCAATAGATATGCTGTGGCCAGGGTGCTCAGCCTCTTACAACATTTGTTTAGACTCCTCCTGCTTGACAGCTTTATAATTGTGGTACCATAAGGCACCTACCAGTAAGTAAAGAAGCTGCGAAAAGTGGGCGCCATACAGGCAGAGAAACAAATGCCTTAGAGAGCAGCCTGGGGGAGGTGGGTCCTCAGGGGACTGTGTGCAGACTAAATATTCCTTTGCTTTGGGTTTTTTTGAGACAGGGTCACATGTAGCTCAGGCTGAACTCAAACTCACGGCAATCTTCCTGCATCAGCCTCCCAAGTGCTGCGGTTACCAAGGTGCTGCGCCACCATGTCTGGCAAACTAAGTATCTCGAGGAGAGTCACACACAAAGTGGCGAATGCAAAGGCTGAAATATCAGGGCACCCAGCAGTAATCCCTGCTCCACCATATAAAAGGATAGAAGCAAGAATGCTGGAGGAAGAGTGAAACACCAAGGCCCTGGGAAGCAGACTCCCAGGCCACATTTCGCAGAGATGAAGCGGGAAACCCTGGGAGATGAAATCCACAGCAGCGGATTCCAAGTTGGTGGAAACCTTGAACTTGATTCACATGGTAAAGAAGGACCTGTGTGCTCCTCGCTCCTTCCGGCACCCCCGCAACCTGGACAGACAGTTTATGTCCCTGAGTACTCGACAGACTCCTTGGGAGCTGAACCCGATGTCAGATGGGGTGGCAGGAAAGTCAGGGTCCTCCTTTTAGCACACTGACATCATAAAAAGCTGGAGAATGCTTCTCTGAGTCAAAATCAAAGGGAACACTTTTAGCCTGGTGGGATGGAAGTCGGTTTCCTGGTTTCTGTGGAGGGTTAACTAGGAGCCTCCCGGATCCCTGCGACTCTCATTTCTATGGATACAGTGAGTAAATGACGCGAAGAAATGAATGAATGATGCCCACGAGGTATCTCCAGCCTGTGACAACCCAGCCACGTGCAAGGTAGTCCAGCTTCCTTGAAGGACCTGCAGTTGTTTTCTGAGGAAACTCCAAGGCCAGAAATTCTCTACTCTTCTCTTTCTGTTACCTGCTCTTCAACCAGAAGCATGCGAGCCTCACAGTCTGAACTCTTAACGTGTAGCATGCAGGAAGCCTAGCTTGCTGTGAAGACGGATTCTTGAACAGGGTCGGCAAACTCTAGCTCATACACGGCCATGTGAGTCTGAATGGCCTGCAACCTAATGTCAGCTTTTGCATTTGCTTAATGGTTGAAAGAAAATTATTAAAAAGAAAACTATTTCACAACAGACAAAATTGCATGAAATCCACATTTCACTAGCCATAAGGAAAGCTCGCCTGGGACCCGGCCGCACCTTTCTGATACGATGACAGAGTGACTAGCTGTGACAGAGACACTGTGCCTAAAACGTGTCCCGGGCAGGGGCCAGGAGACAGCTCAGCAGAAGAGCAAGTACTAAGTACAATCAGAGCTCTGGGCCAACCCTCAGCTGCAGAGAAAAAGTTTATGTGGCTCACAACAGAAAGTTTGCTGACCATATTAGATCAGTGTTTCCTAATGTGCTCAGTGCTTTAATTTTTTTTTAAGGTCTTATTGGTCACATAAATGCAGCAAATGCTGGGCTGGCTCCATCACTGTAGGACTTCTCACAGCCTTTCCACACCAGCTGGAACCAACAGTTGCTGTGGCAGAGCCTCTCCCCACAGTGAGGCTCCTGGGGCAGGGCCTGCCCTGGAACACCCCGCACGGCCTCCAGCAGGACCCTTGGCCTACAAGGGGCTTTGCCAGCAGGTTGACCCCAAGGGGACACTGCAAGAAACCACTGAATGGCTGTGCTATTGCTGCAGGAAACAGATGACAGCAAGAGCTCATGTGACCCTGTGGTGCTCTTCTAAGCGCACTGATGAGGGGAGTTGCACAGTGCAAACAAATAGCCTTGTCCCTGATTAAATTGCTCTTTTTGCCTTGGCTGCTAGGAAACTCAGAAGACAGCATTTTTGTACCTTGCCTCTAGAACACTTTACTTGTTGTTTGAATTTTGTGAACTAAATTTTGTTCTGGTTATACCTAATTTTCCCACTCAAAGATGCCTTTTGCTCCGTTTCCTGACTTTAAGAAAAATCACTGCATTGTATTTACTACTTAATTAGCTGTCTGAAGTCATTTTTGGAAAAAATGTAGGCTATAAACAAATACATATGTACACTGAGGAGTTACAATTTTTCAGAATCAAGTGTTGAAGGGCTGCTGGAACAGAAAGCCAGTATGGCCCCACTCTAAGAGTCGACAGACAGTGAGAGCCAGAGGGCTCCAAACTTGCTCTCACACCAGAGGAAGCTGGGATAATTGAGGAAATGAATGCCAGTCATCAGTGCTGAGAGCCAGCAGTTTAATCTGCTGTCCTCATGGCCATGTGGAGCAGGAGGGCTCCTCCTGGTCCCGGCAGAGGCTGGGCCCTGCTGGCCTCAGTACTTGGGGCCCAGGTGGCACCAGCTGGCTACTGCATGCTGTTAAGGCACTTGGGATGTCGCT